ACACATATTCTACATTTTGAACGCATCCCAAAATGGCAAGATGACATGATGAAGCATTTAGAATAAATATTGAACATACATCTTTCAACACAAACACATTAGGAATAGCCAATTCTATAATGATCAATTTGGAACTTACACCAATTACATGAACACCGTGTGATTCTATTCTAAGAAGAAGGGGGTTTAGCCAACATACCTCAATTGAGCTTCCTTAAACTCTAAAATGATCCGGAATTCTTAGCAACTTCAATTTAGAAAATATAACAAATTGAACTAAAAATTAGGAGGATGATCATGGTTCTAGCTCATTTGAGCATTTTATCAAACACTAGGTATGCATTAAGGTTTCAAGTTCCTTTTATGGAGAATTTCATCATCCCACAACCCACTCTTTACCATTTTTAGCTCACAACCTTCCCACATTATTTGATAACACATGCTTGCAAGATAATAACCCTCACACCCAATAATTATATTTCTAATTATCCCCTTTTTTGTAGATTTTTAAAATTAAGAGGTAGGGCATATATTCTTACCTTTAAGGTGAGGACTTTCTTGATAATCTTCAAGGATTGAGCAAGAATTGTTGGATATTAGGTTGAAGGTTACTTCCCCGCTCTAAGAACTCTTTCTCACTCTAAAAATATCAGAAATATGCTAAAAAATGAACTATGGCATATGTTTTAACGAAATAGGGTCGGGTTTAAAAATCTCAAAAATGAAGCTCCGTAACAGGGTATGCGGTCGCATATGCGACCGCATAATGCTTATGCGGTCTGCAGAATAGGTCGCATAATTGCCCTCCAGAACTGGGCAAATCTGACTCGGTCTGCGGTCATTATGCGGCCCACAGACCTGTTCTGCGGTCGCATAATGCGCCGTAGAACCTCCCTCCGAAAAATCTCAAAGCTAGATATGCGATCAGAGTGCGGCCCACGAAATGGTTTTACGGTCGCATAATGGGCCGCGAAAATGACATCAAAAAAATGGCCCAAAAGACTGTCTCACTCTGCGACCATTATGCGGTCCGCAGAGTGATTCTATGGCCCCATAGTGGACCGCAGAAGTGTATTTCTTCTGCCTAAATTTTTCCTTTACTTTCCAGTGCATTGTTCAACCCAAGCTCAGTTCGGCACCACAAACATTATTTTTTTTTCCTTTGCGAAATCTTACGGGGCCTTACAGATTTCTCACAAATTGATAGTGTTTTTCATACATGTAATTTGTAAGCACATATGTTCCTACCAATATTATTGCTTTTTATATAATTATCACTTATATTGATTAAAACCTTTAATATATATTATTTTAAGTTTTATACTTTAATTAAATTTATTTATAATAAATATTTAAAAAATTTCTTTCTAAATAATGGTAATTGTAAACTAAACCTTTATTGTCCTTTAGTGTAATTTGATACTCAAAAGTACTTTTTGGAAAGATTGGCCAAACACAATTTACTTATCAAATATCGTAAAAAGTACTTCTCAAAGGAATTGGCCAAACACAAACTGCTAATCTCCAAAAGTATTTTTTCGAAAAGTACTTCTGAACAAAAGTACTTTTTAAAATAAATAGCTTTTGGCAGTTTGGCCAAACAGGCTCTTAACTTTTTGTCGGTAGAAGGGAGGGGATGGCTAGATTGTTAATTACTTTAATTAAGATATAGATGATGCAATTATTGTTGTAGTTCAATTTCTAATAGTCTACAATTTTAGCTATCTATATCCTGTAGTACATAGTATCCTTTGAATTACCTTGTTTGTTTAATAAGCTAGCGAAATCGATTGTAATTAACTGAAAAGAAAGGAAAGTTAAATTTGTAAGGAGAAGTGGTTGTTATATTTGTTATGCCACCAAAAATGATGATTTTACAAATAATTAAAGAGGTTAGGGGCAAATTTTGTAAAAGAGTATGATAAGGGGCAAATTTTCACGTTAACTTCTCTCTTTTCCTCTCCTAAAATTTCATACTACTTAGTGGGAGTTTGGACATAAGAATCGTAAAATTCTAAAATACGGGGAAATTTTTTTTAAATGAAAATGGTATTTGAAATTTAGAGTTGTATTTGGACATGATTATAATTTTAGGTTGTTTTTGAAGTTTTGTGGGTGATTTGAGTGAATTTTGAAAAACACCTTTTTGGAGTTTTTTAAATTTTCGAAAATTTCCAAAATGCATCTTCAAGTGAAGATTGAAAATTTTATGAACAAACATTGATTTCGAAAAAAATAAAAAAATTTCTTAATACATCTCAGTAGAAAATCTACAAAGCTTCTTTCTGTAAAGTTCAAAATAATGTCGTCTACTTTGAAATTATTAACAACTTGTTTTTAAAAAGCACCAAAACTAAGGTCCATATGCACATTTAATTTATTTCGTGATTGGTGACGTATACAGTTTTTTTTTTTTTTTTTTTTTTTTTTTTTTTTTTTTTTTTTTTTTAATATAAATTTGGAGGGTTACCTTTTCCTAGTCTAACTATTAGTCATTAGATACATACCCGTTGGCATGCAATATTAGAGTGGAATTTAGGGGAAAAATAGTAATAAAGTTAAAATTTGGTAGACAGCAGGTTTGGATGGGTTGGACCAAGAACTCTTTATCTAAGAAAACCCATATACTTATAGAACTATTAATGAACTCTTTTCACAAGCTAAATTGCGTGTACCAAAGGAAGAAGATTAAAGTGGGGAAAAAGATACTTTTTCCACAATTATCATTCTCTCTTGATTTGTTTGTTACTTTCTTATTCCACCATAGACAAGGATGTATTTTGAGATAACACTGATGACTGATCAAAGTTGTATACTCTGGAACTGGAAAAATATTTTCTTACACTAAATCAAAATTTGTTTACCTAGGTTAAGTAATAACGCGAGGTGAAAATATTTAGTATCCATTAAGCATAATTAAATGATAAAAGTAGTATATATAGAAAATACAAGTCATGCTATCATACAAACAATAAGCATGAGTAATTCTCTTTTCCGAAACGAAAAACCAGTTTGAACGTCTAATTTGGGTTTGGTTCTTCTAACCNTTTTTTTTTTTTTTTTTTTTTTTTTTTTTTTTTTTTTTTTTTTTTTTTGTGTGTGAGATACAAAGCGTCTTTCTAGGCGTTCCTTGAAAGCCTACTTTTAGCCTCTTTAATTAGCAGAAAGCAAGTCTCTCCTCTTTAACTAGCAAAAAGCAAATACTCCCGTTCACTTTTACTCGACACGTTTTGATTTTTCACGCCTTTTAAAAAATAATAAATGAAATGTATAATTTACCATGATACCCATATTAATTGATGCATATTTTATTGGATTTGAAAAAATAATTTGAAATGAGTAATAAATACTGTGGATATAACAGGAAAAAAAATGTGTCTTCTATTGATATGATTAAAATGACAAATAAAAATGAAAATTAATTTTTAGTATACATGCCAAGTAAAAGTGAACGGAGGGAGTAATATATATAATTTCTCACACCTATAGTAGGGACCAATTAGACTAAGTGGACTTTTGTTATATTTCCTACTTCTTTCTAACCTAATGGATCTTTCATCTTCGTACAAACTTCTCATGAGTTGTCTTTGTTAGTATAAACCTTCTATCCTCTATTAAATTAGGTGCGGACGTTCGGTCGGTTCAGTTCGGTTTTAAGAAATTCGGTTCGGTTATTTAGTTTTCGGTTTTGTAAAAGTAGTAACCGAAACCGAACTGAAATAAGTTCGGTTCAGTTCGATTTTTTTATTTCGGTTCGGTTCAGTTCGATTTTTTTATTTCGGTTTGAACATTATCATATTGGGCTCTCTCTACGTAATAATTGGACTGACGAATTTGTTAGTTTTCTTTTAAAATTTCGATAAATTAGACTGAAACCAACCGAAAATTTATTGATTTGCTAATAATTCGGTTTTTCGGTTAACCGAACCAAATAAATGAATAACCGAAAATCGAACCGAAAAATTGAAATTTTAAACCGAAATCGACCGAAAAAATCGAATAACCGAAACCGAAATAAAAATATTTTCGGTTCGATCGGTTTTTTCGGTTCGGACCGAAATATGCCCACCCCTATATCAAATGGATTACTAAAAATGCTATTTTAACTCTGCTCTATCAAAACACAAGATGATGCTCATGGTTTACCAACACATGAACTACTCCAATGATCTAGAAAGAAAGGAAACAACAATAATTATGCCACAATCCCAAGTTATCTTGGGCAATAGCGGACTCAGGAATTTTAAGCTAAAGGAGCTCAGCGGCATATGATCCATTTTTTCAACCATCGCACCCATTAACATATCCCGAAATTAGGTGCTCAATCTCTCCATTTCTTTAATTTTACTCTATATGTGTGTGTGTTCAACAATAATGGGTGCTTGAGCACCTAGTAGGTACAATGTAGGTCTGTTGTGGATCTCGATCAACTATATGAATTCTCACTAGCCATGTGTCTTTCCCATCATAGGTAGCTAGAAAGAAGGAAAAACATCTAGAATGAGATGTTACAATGGATGTGTAACCTTGCTTCACATGAATAAGCTCTATATTTTGTTTAAACCTTTAATGTGTGTATGTGAATACAGGGTAACATGACTAATAACCATATTTATAATGTTCATAGGGATGGAAGAAAAGAAGCTAGCAAGCCCAAAAGAAAAGAGGCTACTAAACTGCACATTTACTCAAAATTAATAACTTGTGCCCATTATAAGTTTGTTGCCTCATAACTGGGCATTAGATTTACAATGGAAATGGTTTAGTTGGCCCAATTTCCAATTATGTATGCTGCCTTCCAGCTGGAAATTATTGGGCTGGGCTGTTTCAAGAGAAGAATTTGTTCAAAACTGGGAAAGCGTGGAAGGCAATTTTCATCACTAAAGTAGTTTAGTAGATAACAGTACTACCATAACATGAACAACAACTACCATAACATGTTATTCCTTTTTTCTTTTTTGCTCTTAATTTTTTGCAAAAAGAATATTTTAAAAGGAAAAGCATCCCCAATAGCAGTTCAAGAACATGAAACTACTGCAAAGAAAAAGAGAAAAAGTGAAAGGTTCAAAAAACAAACCCTCAATAAAGATTCTCCTCAATCATCAATAAACACTTCCCCAACAGTCTTTCCTGAGATAGAGAAAATTTGGAATGGAAATCAATCTCAACACCTTCTAGCAAGTCCCTGATGGCCCTTTCAATAACAAACAAATTAACATCAACTTATTTTTCAACTTTCCCATGTCCCTTTTCTTTGTCCAAATTTATAATTCTATTTACACTTCCATTTCTCATTCCAATACAAGCTCAATCAAGACTCTGCAGAATATCTTGTGGTGGTATTCCAATTCAATACCCTTTTGGCCTAGATGATGGATGTGGCAGTCCATATTACAGACATATTCTTGTTTGTACGGCAGATATGCTTGAGCTTAGAACACCTTCAGGCAGATACCCTGTTAAAAATATAAACTATTCAGATCCTCACATTCTTGTCACTGATCCCTTTATGTGGAATTGCCTAGACGGCAATAATTTTCGCCCAACTAGACCATTTAGCCTAGACACTAGCACACATTTCATTCTGTCACCTCAAAATGACTACCTCTTTTTCAACTGTAGTGAACAAGATGTGATCATTGAGCGAAAATCAACGTTCTGTGAGCGTTTTCCTGAGCAGTGTGATTCGACCTGTGATAGTTCGAGTTATCTTTGTAGGCACTTACCTGAATGTGCTAATGGATTGAGGAGTAGCTCTTGTTGTTCTTACTATCCTAAAGCTACAGAGTCTTTGAGACTGATGTTGAAGCATTGTGCAACTTATACTAGTGTGTATTGGAGAAATCTTGGTGTAACTCCGGCTTTTAATGAGGTCCCTGAGTATGGGATTAGAGTTGATTTTGATATTCCTGTGACTACGCGATGCCTCAAGTGTCAAGATTCCGCTAAGGGAGATGGCATTTGTGGGTTTGATACGGAGAGACTCAATTTTTTGTGCCTGTGTAACAAAGGAAATAGTACAACCAACTGTAATGGTAAGCAAATGTGAATAGTAACTACTAACGAGGTCCACTTTAGTCATCTTCTCATGTTCCAAGCGAATACTGCCTGTTTTTTATTATCTCCAAGGATAGGATTATTCTGTTTACCTATCGTTCTATCAAAGCCTCTTCTTTGATGACTGAATGCATTTCTTTAATCCCATAGTTAGTAATGCCCGAATTCTTTCTTCTGTATCAAGGATGTCACCATTGATTTTCCTGAGATGTAACAATTTCAGAGAGTAAAGATATTAATGACAAGAAAATGCTTTTTTGTTATACATTTTTTCACTGTTTTTCCTACTAATTGTGGCATAATTTCTTGATATTTGAACGAGCAAAACATCACCGGTTCCCTTTGAAATTAGATATGTTAAAGTCAATACTGATTCATCCTCAATGTACTGTGCAGATAGTGAAAATTCTCACAGGAGGCCTGGCGTTATTGCAGGTAATTATTGCTTATTGATTGATCAGTGCTCTATTAGCTGGTTACTATTTTATTAGTTTGCAACTATACACCCTCCTTGTACTTTTCCATTAATATTTCTTTTGTGATACATATGATTGAAATGTTGCAGGGACTGCAACTGCAGTATCAGTTGCAGGGGCATTTGGAATTGGGGTTGGTGTATGGTACTTGAAGAAAGCGAGAGCAAAAGCATCAGTAACTCATGGAGTTCAAAGCAATGAGAACAGGCTTTTCTGAGTTCTGACCATGTCAAGAGAAAACATAGTACTGCGTCTTTCCTTTATTTTCCTCGCTTCTCTTTACCATTTTCAGTCTTTTCCTTTTTCCTTTTAATTTCTTATGCAGTAGCTTATTTTTAATCTTATTTGTTCTCTTTGTAGCTTAAGGAACCAACTTTTGGTCATCCCTGGCATCACTTGTAGTTGAAAACGGAAGAAAAAGACAGACATATGGAAATAGTATGCAAATATAGTGAATATTATTGAACTTGCTATGCTATGTTCCAAAATCAGCATATTTTGTGAGTCCATGATTTGATACTCAAACTCCTTTTCCTTTGTGAATCCAAGTCTGTATCTCTATAAGTGCGGGTTCCAAGATTACAGTCTAAAATCCGGTGCAGTTAGTTGCTTGTATAGGTTTAATTTCCGTGATATCGTGTTTTTGAGTTTGAATTTGAATGCTTCAATTTGTATCCTAGCTTAATAAGCCACCTTGATATGTTGACTGCTACATTAGTTGATCCATGAATAACATCAACAAGACCATCGTTGGAAGGAGCAAGATAAAAATGGTCAATACATATATATTTTAATACTTCAGCACATGGATGACGCCTCCGATATTGTAACAATCCAATCGATCGTTTTGAGTTCTAGAACTCCGTTTCCTAATTTAATATTTTTTCATAGGTTCGATTGGTGATTTATGACTTACGGCTATGGGTGACCAGGGTCCCGAAGATATCGAGCGTTTAGGAACACTAGATCTCCAACTATGAGCCTTAAATGCGTAGGATTGACCAAAGTCAGCATTTTCAGTAAACGAGGTTAGATTCATGGTTTGAAGGCAATAGGTTTGTATGACTATTTTTGACTTGTACTTATGGCCAGGGGTTCGGATGCAATTCGGCGTATTATATAAAAGTTGAAAACTTAAAAGTTCATAAGTTTAATCTGGACCTTGATTTTGAGTTGCGGTGTTTTTGTACGTATTTTTAGCCTTTGGATAAGTTTATATAGGATATTTAGACTAGTTAGGATGGTTGGTGGGAAGAATTTTAAGGTAAAACCCAGCAAAACCAGCAATAAATTGAAGCAGCAACCAGCCATTTTCTGCAATTTCAGCTATTTTTCAGTACTTATATAAATAGCCTCATTTCATACTTAGAGTTTAGTTTATCATTTTGGGAGGTAAAAAGCATTGATTGAGGTAATTTTAAAGAGAATTTATCATTGGGGTAAGTAAATCTAACTCGAATATATGATCAAAACATAAATCTATCACTAGATCTAACATCAAAACATGAATTTGAGCAAGAGAAAATGAATTTTTCATTAAAAACGAGTGGATTTTGTAATTTTAAATATCAAAATGGACACGATTTTTGAAATAAATTACATATTTGGACTTATAACAGCCCGATTGATCGTTTTGAGATTTAGCATTCCGTTCAGTGGTTCGAGGTCTTGAGTGGCTTCATATTGTGTCATATGACTTGCGTGCAAAGTCGGATTCGATTTTCGGATATTTCGGGATTTATTTGGATGAGTGATTCTCATTTTAGGAGCTTAAGTTTAAAATGTCTATCGAGGTTTGACTTTTGCGAAAACGACCCCGGAACGGTATTTTGATGATTCTGATAGATTTGTATCGTGATTTTGGACTTGGGCGTATGCCCGGAATCGAATTCGGAGGTCCCTAGGTTGATTTGGTTTGTTTTGCCGAAAGTTGGCAATTTAAAGGCTTAGAATTTTGGTAAGTTTGACCATAGGTTGACTTCATAGCTATCGTATTTGGATTTCTGTTTCGGGACTTGGAATAGGTCTATTTTGCTATTTGAAACTTGTCTCCAAAGTTTGGCGTCATTCTGAGACGAATCAGACGTGTAGTTGTGTTTTTAGAAGTTCTTGAGTTTCATTATAGATTTCATGTGTTTTGAGGTCCAATTCGTTTTTCGGATGTTATTTTGATGGTTTGATCGTGCGAGCGAGTTCGTGTTATATTTTTAGACTTGTGTTGGTGTTTGGTTTAGAGCCCCAAGGGCTCGGGAGAGTTTTGGACGCGTTTCGAAGTGTTTGAAGAGTTTTAGTTTTTGCTGGTTATTAAACAGGCGTTGTAGATCTCGTAAATGCGAGATTTTATTCGCATTTGCAAAGGTACCTAAAGTCTGCTAGGTTTTCATTTGCAAACTCAAAGTTCGCATTTGTGATGGGGCCTCGGCTGGGAGAGTTCCGCATTTGCGATCACTAGGTCACTTTTGCGATGAGTCCTTTGTTCGCATTTGCGAACTTTATGTCGCAATTGAGGCATTAGCAGGGGTGTGACGAGTGTCGCTTTGTGATCATTCTTCGCATTTGCGGGGCTCGCATTTGCGAACCCTAGGTCGCATTTGCAACACGTGTGCCTGGACGTAAAAGCTGAGAGACGAGATTTTAGCCTCATTTTTCATATCTTTGAACCCTAGACTCGATAGGAGAAGATTTTGAAGAGGGATTTTCATCTACAACCATTGAGTAACTTTTATCAATTTTTAACTATTTTACATGATTATATATGAGATTTAACATCAAAATTATGAGAATCAAAGAGGAATTTTGGAAAATTTTGTCTATGTTGTGAAAAATAAAAATTTGAGATTTGAGAGTCGAATTGGACTCGGATTTTGAAACAAAACACATATATAGACTCGTAGGGTTATGGGTAGTCGGAATCTACCATTGGACTCGGGTTTTGACTGGGCGATTCCGGGGTTGACTTTTGAGGAATTGTGCAAAGATCATAGCCTTATTTATTGGAATTGATTTCTCTTGCATTATTTGATGCTATTAAGTCAATTTTGGTTAGATTTGAGCCGAGCGGAGGTGAATTGTAAAGGAAAAGCTATTTTTGAGTATTGATTGAGGGCTTTTGAGGTAAGTATCTTGTCTAACCTTGTGTGGGAGAACTATTCTGTAGGGATTGTTTTGTTTGTACTATTTGAACTACGTGAAAGACGTGTACTCGAGGTGACGAGTGCATTCACGAACTTATATGTAGAAATTTGACCGGTTTAGACTCTTAGGTTTCTTATGCACACTAAATTAAAGTTGCTCTATCATGTTATGTCCTCCATTGTTAAATTAGCTTTTTTATGCCTTATTTGAAGTTGGGTTCATGTTCTATTGCCAAATATACTCATACATGCATTAATTGAAGTTGTTGCCTCTTTATTGTCATGTTATCTCTTTCATAGCTTATTTATGCTTATTTGAAATTATTGTTACCTGTTATCTCTTCCATAGTTGATTATTCTTGTTTGAAGTCGATGTTATATGTTATCTCGATTATTGTTGAACCACTCTTACTTGAAGTCATTATTACTTGTAATGTCTTTCATTGTTGAGCTTATCCTTCCAGTTCATTGTATTGTTGTAATTCTTGTGTTGATTTTACTTGTCGTACCCTCACTTATTGTTGTTCTCGTTGTAATTGGTGTTGAGCAGTGGGCTATGTGTTGTTATGGTATTGGAATTGTTGTTATGAAAATATTGTGATAGATGAGCACATGTGGTGCGAGTTGTTATATTATGTTGTTATATTTTTGGCACATGTGGGATTGTTGAGAGGATTGTCGGGATGTTTGCACATGAGTTGTCCATGCTATTGTCATTATTGATATTTTCACATGCGGTGTGACAAAGCCGGCTATATATATTGGGTTTGTGCATGTGGCCAGATAAGGTGGGATAATTATTATGCGCGTGTGGAGAGATTAGGCGGGCATTTACTTTATTATTGCGCACGCAGCGAGACAAGGGGGCTATGTCGGGGATGATTTGTGATGGCCCGGGGGCAATGTTATTGATGATAATTGTGTGGTGATGTGACCTTCTTGTGTGAGTCATGCATATTACAAATATTGTTGTGTTGTTTCCAATGTGCTACTTAGTATCTCTGATCTTACCTGTTGATTTAAGTTGTGATAGTATACTTACACAAGCATACATTGTAGCATGTCACCCATATCAGTCCATGAGTATAAATCTTGTTGTTTATTGATCCTGTAGATGTATCCTCATATACCTGCCTTCTATGCGTGGATAGGATTGTTGGCACGTGAGTTGTCCGTGCAGATATGAGGTATTGTTGCTGTTGGCACGTGAGTTATCCGTGCAGGTCTGAGACATTAAAGGTATTGACACGTGTGATGTCCGTGCAGCTGTGATTGGTAATGTGGGCACGAGATGCCAAGTGATTATATTTCATGATTTGGGACCCGTGAACGTGATTTTGAGGGGTGGTACCTCGGGGTGATTCCTGTGCAAACCATTTGTAAGGACATTTAATTACTTGGTTGTTACTTGTTTTTCCTTATTTAATTTCACTGGTACCTTAACTGCGTTATGATTACTTCGCGACGTCATCACCTGTTTACTCCTTGTAGCTAATCGTTGCTTCTACTTTCTGTTTGCTAGTGTTTTATTGTTGTTCTTACCATGTTTAGCATCGTATTAATATCTGTTCCTCTGTTAGCTTTATATTCATACTTGTACATGTTATTATATCTAGTAGGTGTCTTGACTGTACCTCGTTACCACTTCACCGATGTTAGTCTTGATACTTACTAGGTAGCGCTGTGGTATACTCATGCTACGCTTGCTGCACATTTTTGTGCAGATCCAGGTACCTCAGAGCATGCTGGTCATTAGATAGCTGATCGTGTATTGCTGAGGAGACTTCAAGGTATACCTGCCGTCGAGTTCGTAGGCCTCGGAGTCACCTTCTGATGTTTTACTTTGTACTATTTATTTCTATTTCAAATAGTGATGTATTTGATAATCTTCGTTACTCTTAGAAGGGCTTATGATTTGTACTACCAGTTTTGGGATATTGTATATCTATTGATGATTGTTGGTTGGATTATGTTAAATGGTTGATTGGTTTAAGTCTATTAATAACTCTTGCTCTATGTGTTAGGCTTACCTAGTCCTAGGGACTAGGTGTCATCATGACTCCTAAGGAGGAATTTTGGGTCGTGACAAGTTGGTATCAGAGCTCTAGGTTCATAGGTTCTACGAGTCATAAACAAGTTTAGTAGAATCTTGCGGATTGGTACGGAGACGTTTGTACTTATCTTCGAGAGGCTACAGAACTATTAGGAAATATGACTAAGAGAACACAATTGGCCTAGAAGATAGAACCGAATTAGTGAAGCTTTCATACTGATATGTTACGATTTAAACAAACCTACCTAACATTAGATTTTATTATTATCTAGCAACATAAAATAAACAACTTATGCAAATTTCAGCCATATTTATCATTGGAACTTTTATATAAAAAAATAATTCTAATTAGCTATCATACTATTCTATGTGAATAACTTGTCGTAATTTTATATCGACATCTATATGAACATGAATCTGATCTAACTATTAAAGACCAAAATTTCAGCAACTCAAACAATAAACTAAGACATACTACAACAAATTTTGTCAATCACGTTGCTTCATACCAACAATATAAATGAAACTCCTAAGAAAAGAAAAGAAAAGAAAAAAATCTACAACAAAGTATA